AATACGATTTTCATTAGATTTAAAATATTTTACAATCAAATGGGAGTAAATAAAGATAAAAAAGTTAGCTCCCTACTTTTAAGGATATACTTGACCGCACAATATAAAAATGTACGATTACCTGCTGGGTCCTCCAACTGCACAAAATTAGTATTAATACCTGTCATTCACACGAAACTTTTAGGGAATACGCAGTAAACTGCCCGTATCAGCATGCAGATGTTTCTTAACCATTTTGAATTGCTGGTACCAATACTAATTTTCCAAAATTCCAGTACCCACATCTAGAATAGAGGTGCTCGTTTTAGAGAAAAATTATGTCCGATTAGCTGCTAGGTACTGGTACCTGCAATTCACAATGGTTAAGAAACATCTGCATGCTTGATACGGGCAGTTTAATGCTTATTCCCAAAAAGTTCGGAACTACATATTAAGAATAAAAAAGCTTGTTTTCGAGAAGCAATAAATTTCCAATGAGTTCTTTATGGTTTCCAAAACGTCCGCTATTGCTTTTTTATATAGAGAACGGAAGAAATTAGTCGGCCTTATCCGCATTTTTAAGGGGAAAATATCAAGTTTCGGAAGTCAACGCAGAATTCGTAATTAATGATTTAAAACAAAGTTATTATGGCAATGCAATATGCGTTGGATTAAGGCTCAACGCGAAAAGGATCGATTTCTTAAAGAAAATAGCGATTGGCTTGATGGAGAACATTCGGTGAGTTTGTTGGTTTCCATGACTGAAGGTAGTCTTCACCCAAGAAAACACTCAAGATTGGCGATAAACGAAGATATCTTCCGTACATTATTATATACATCGGATCCATACACAACAAGCATTCGTAAGCCATATGCAAGAATCACCAAAGAACTTGACGAAGATGCTCTAGGCTTGTGGAAAATAAGTGAATTCATTCCGGATTGTGAAGCGATTGAAACCGCAAATAAATGAATCATTTTGATAAGTGTATTTTTAATATGTAAAACATATACTATTTTTAGTCAATAATTTTTAGAAAACGATAAGCTATACTATTGAAATTTTTTTTATTGGGGTGTTTTTATATACTTTTCTTATGGCACCTACTACATATCGAGCCCTAACCGCCAAAATAACGTAAGCCACATATTTTTCAAAATTTTCTTTTTGATGCAGAAATGTATCTCGATGCTCTAGTAATATTTCTGCATCAAAAACAAAATTTTTAAAAATATGTGGCTTACGTTATTTTGGCGGTTAGGGCTCGATATAATGCAATAGTTCAGTAAAATTTTTATTTTTATTATTTTTTATTTAAATAAAGGGTAATCTATGTAAAAAATATATATATATATGAAATAATATTTTATAAAAACGATCGTTTAATACCAATAGTCAAATATCTTCTTTCCATTTAATCAGAAAGTGTACATTTTATGTTTTCCAAGTCCACATATGGGTCTATATCTCGGGAACTAAATGAGATACAAAAATTAAAAATTCATGGTTTAAATTTACAGGGTTTACCCGTAATTTTAAGAACAAAAACTTTACAGATCTATGATCAGCAAATGTCTCATATTGCCCATAAGGCACCGGTGCAATGCTGCTGTTCCTTTAAGGACTGCTGGCTGGACTACGGAGGGCCGTTTAAAGTTGGAGCTACCAAAGGCCGCGATAGCCGCAGCTTCAAAAGTTATGTGGCACTTTTTGTATGCCTGAGCACTCGTGCTATACATGGAATTGGTCAGTGATATGACAACCGACGCGTTCTTTGCAGCACTTCAGCGTTTTTTCTCCAAACGCGGCTATAGCTCCGATATTTATAGTGACAAGTTCTGAGGGAAGATTTTGTCGCCTTTCGCGCTCAAATAGATACTGGTGCTCGTTCGGTGGCACTACACAACGTATCATGGCGTTTTATACCTCCATGAGCATAAAACACCATCTACGTCGAGTCGTAGGTGAATCAAGCTGCTGACCTTTGAAGAATTTTGAATTGAAGCAAATTGAGGCCGTTTTAAATTCCAGGCCGATATCTGCTTTTTCCGACGACCCCTCGGACTTGACGGCGCTAACTCCTGGGCATTTTTTGGTTGGTGGCCCGTTAACAGCCACGTTAGCAGCATTACATTATTACAGATCAAACCGCTTGTTTATTGTTTAAAAAAGGCTATCAATTCTAACAGTCATGGAGCTAAAATGTCTCGTCTGAGTACTTTCGAGTACAAGTAGAATCGAGTACTCCCCAGCGATACTCTGTGTAGCACCGAGTATTCTCTTCGATACTTTTAATGAGTACAAGCATTGAGTACTAGGTGGCATCGGACGAGCACTAGTCAGGCCCAATATATATTTTTTTATTTTTGTTATTTTTCTCTTATACCTGCTGTCATTCTTCATCAAACCTTTTTTATCGAATCATGGCCTAAAATATCTGCCTGAAGCTTCGCGTTCTTAGCGCCATTTTCTCAAGTAGGTTTTAGAATTTGTCTGCTCTTTAACCACAAAATTTTGATCTGAAAAGATGTGTTTGAAAGACAGATAAATTTTAAAAGCTATTTGAGAAAACTGCACTTAAAGACTTAATAGATTCGAAACATTAAATACACATACATACATACATAAAAAAATTTTCTATATATGAAACCTAGAAACTAGAATTAAAACATTTTGGTTTGATTTTTAAACCACGAACAGAATATATTAAAAATTGCTTAAAACTATTGTCTGGTTTAAAAAGTAGACTATAAAAAATTAAAAAAGGCAGTAGTCCCAACGCGGTTTAAAAATTGAACCCAAATTTTTGATCGTGCAGTTATATATCTGTATATAAATACGCCACAAGAAAACTTTTTTGGGTGCACCGTTCGCTCGATTTCAATGAAACATACACCGATTTAAAGGATACAACTTCCTCTAATCCAGAAATGTTAACCCCGTTACTTAGGGGGCATGACATCTGACATAAAGACTTAAATGTGAAATCCGACTTATCTCTAAACCCAATTAAGCTGGGGAACTGAAACTTGGGAAGGATGCATAAATTGTAAATACCCTACTTACGGCAAAAAACGGTAGGTATTTGAAAAGGCGGAGTGGCACCTCCTACACTAACTGAAATTCTCATCTCATTTATCTCTGGAACTGCTTATGCTAACGTCTTGAAATTTGACACAGCAAACTACATATATGTTCTAAATACCGTACTTACAGCGAAAAGTGGTAGATAGAAAAGGAGGCGTGGCACCTTCCATACAAACTGAAATCTCTTATCGCTTATCTCTGGAACGGCTTACGATAACGTCCTGAAATTTGACACAGCTATTTATGCTATCTATAGCGTACTTACGGCGAAAAGTGGTAGGTATTGAAAAAGGGGCGAGGCACCTCCCATACAAACTGAACTTCTCATATCGCTTATCTGTGTATGCGCTTATGTTAACGTTCTGAAACATATCACAGCTGCTTATGTTATCATTACGGCGAAAAGTGATGTGTATTCGAGAGGGGAAGGAGGCACCTCCCATACAAAATGCATTTTCAATATCGCTCATATCTGATAGGGTAATGGAATGTGATATCTATGTACATTTATATACATATATATATATATGTAAAATGGCAATCGATCAAGCGATCAATGATTGTTATTTTGTGCAATGCTTTTTAAGATATCAGTGTGTTTTTCTTTATTATGAACGTGAAATAGCGAGATTACCTCACTAATAAAAAATTAACTTTTGATTTCTTTAATTTAAATTTTGATTGCCACAAAGCATATAATATTTTCATAGTTAACAAGGAAAACTGCCAACAGTTCACAAAAATCATTTTTTATAAAAGAAATACATAAGAAATAAAAATGAGCTAAATGATGTACATAAAAACGTTTTCTTTTAAATAAAATATTATATATATTTGAAGTGTACTTTTTTTCAAAAAGTACTATAAATATCTTAGAAAATGTTGGCAATCCTAGTAAATCGATATCTAATGGCGTTTCTTTTGCCCTGTGATAAGGCTGTCAAGTTCACCAACTTCACCGGCATATTTCGTGCACTTTACTCTCACCGGCATATTTTACTCTTTACTCTGATAATGTTGCCATATAAGAAGGTGACATTTTTTTCGAAAAAAGAAAACACCATAAGTAAAAGCTCAGTTATGCAAGACTTAGACTTGACTTGACTTGAAAACTGTATATCAGGCAAATGCGCAGCGCGTATATTTAGTTGCCCAAAAAAACAACTTCACTTAGAAACTTGGAGAAAAATAGATTTTTGATTTCTAATGGTGATTTTCGTTTCAAGCAAAATAAATATTTAAAAAAATAACTCTAAGCTGACAGTTTAAACAAACTGCGTTAAAAATTGCTGAAAATGTATTTCACACGTGCCTGCCGCCTTGATTTTTATTAAGTTTTAAGATAATATTATAAACAGGGCTTCGGAGCGAAGGTTTTTTTTCTTCGCTCCGCTCCGGTATTTAATTTCGCTCCGGGTTCTGCTCTTGCTTCACTCCCGCTCCCGATAAAATTTTTTATTTATTGATTTACATATCGAGCCCTAACCGCCAAAAAAATGTAAGCCAAATTTTTTTGAGAATTTTCGTCTTGATTCAGAAATGCATCTAGATGCTCTAGGAACACTTCTGCATCCAAAAGAAAATTAAAAAAATTACCAAGTTAATTCGATTTTTCTTTAAGTAGCTAAGGAGCAAAAGAATTTGTTTAGCTCTTTACTCTAGCTCCGCTCCAGCTACAATCCTTTGCTCCTTAGCTCATTGTTCCTTTACTCCGCTCCGCTCCGAAGCCCTGATTATAAGTTCAAATCATATATGTATCTACATTCTAGGGCCGTTCCAAAAAAACTACTTACAAAACTTTATAACTTCCTTGGAATAGTATCTTAATATTTCTAAAAGGTAAAGGATCGTTAGCATTATATTTACAGACACGTTATTAGTTGAATTGAATTCCAGTAAATACAATCGATTTTTTTTTATTATTTTAACTTACCAAGTTTTGGCTTCCATTCACTTCTATGGCAGTTATTAAACGTTGAGAAAGAATTTCCAACAATCGGCTATATTTTGTATTTAGTGTAGCCAGGTGATGACTGTAGTATTTCGCGGCACCAGGATCACTTCCTGTTTGAAGATCTTGGCGAGGTAGTGAAGATGAAGGACTGGCTTCCAGAATCCAGTCTTGTAAGCGCAGGCATTTACCATCATATATCTGCTTTTTCAATTCCGGTATATTGTTGCATATTAGGTAGTATAATTTATTTTACAGAATTGTTTCATTGTGGTTTGTGTGTGTGTGTTACAAGTTAAATTAGAATTAACATGTTAGAATTAATATTGGTAAAGGTTAAGATTTGTCATTAGTATGTACATTGTACAGACTGTTCTAGGTTTTTAAGTTGACAATCCAATACGTTAAATAAAATTATTTGAATAAATTCTCTGAAGTATAAAATAATGAAATGTTTGGTAAATTGTAAGCATTAGTTTTAGGTTAACACTTCAGATGAAACTTTAGTTTTATGCTCTGCCCAATATTTTCGTTAACAACAGGAACAGTTATGCTACATATACGAAGTATTTCTATAAGCTTGGTTTTAAACGCCATAAACATTACATATTATTACCTTAATATAGAAAATCGATAACTAATTTACTTTGGAAATACAGCTCTGTACAAAGGTCGGTAGATTACTGACTAAAGACTTTATCGAATTTAAAACAACTATTACATCAAAAAATTTGTTTGTGTTTATTAAACACCAGTGTAATGAATAAACTCGCACCCGAGGAGCTATAGCTTTTATAAAGTTTTATAACTACTCTGTAAAGAAACCAAAATGTTAGATAGGGCCTTTCTCTATCAAGGTAAGGATATACACCAATTGATCAACTAACAGAAATTCTATTTCTAAAAAATTTAATTAATCCATTATTGGCTTAATTTTTGATTGTACTTTAGGGTTTCTACTATTTACTATATTGTGGCGTTACCTAGTATGTGGTGCTAACGATTCTATCTTATGGGTCGAAATTCGCCAAGTGTTCTAGGAAAAAAATTTTATGGCAGCATTTTTTTTAACTCCACCACGTTGTCGCTATGGTTACTGGTAACCAATGTTCTATTATAAAAAACTTGTAGACCTTTTGCCACGCCCAACACAAATTATATATCGTTGGAAAGCTTAGAAAATAAGCTATCGAAATAAGCTGTTTGGGAAAAAAGGGGTAAATTGTTTAAAAAATGCAAATCAAAGAACCATAAGAACGGAAAAGGTTCTAATGGGCCAGCAATTTTTGATTCTCTATCATGAGTTGTGACTACGAAATAGGGCTGAAATTTGCATGTTTAAAATCGTATAACTCGACATAAAACCGCGGTGGAAAAACACAATTATTTTACACATTGGTTACCAGTTACCATAGCAAAAACGTGGTGGAGTTTGAAAAAAATACTGCCATAAAATTTTTTCCCTGCTACACTTGGAAAATTTTGCCCCTTATAATAATAGTCAGGTGCTTATGTAAGTTATTTGAAAGGGCTTTCCTTGCGTTGTTCTTAAAAGTTCATAAAACCCGCAACTTAATTGCCGCGTTTTCTAAAACTGTATGGGTGCGTTCAGAAATGCATCAAGCCAAAGCATCAGTATCTTTTCTTTCTAAACTATAATTTATGGAAATGTCTGGTTTACGCGAATTAGTTCCAATTCGGCTTATAACCGTGGTTGCGCATATTTGATATTTCTACCAATTATAGTATAGAAATAAAACAGACTGATGCTTTGACTTGATGCATTTCTGAACGCACCCTATATTACACTGGTTAACAGTGATTCTTGTGCAGAGTAGTTTTTGACTTCAAGTTTTTATTAAGGAAAAAAATTACGATCATAAAAATGTCGAATGTATGGATAAGTCATTAACAAATCAAACCAAATAACACCNATATTTGGGTAATCCCTCAAGGTTTCGAGGATAATCGTAACAATATTTTCGAGATACATATATACAAAGGATTTAAAAAAACGATTCGTTTTGCAAAAAAATTGAAACACTTCTTATTTATACTGTAAAAATATACCGGAAAACGACTTTCGAAAATTGTTTGTATATCCATTTCTTAAAACTAACACATTAGGAAATATATAAGGCATATATCGTCGGCTTAGAGTGTAAACCTGCTAAATCCGTTTTATGGCAAAATTGACCTTTTGATGCAGTTCGAAGGAGTAGGCGATTCCGCAGTTGGCAAGCAAAAAAATACGTCAATATAAAAATATAATTGTCAAAAATTGTTTGATGAGTAAAGGTGCTAAGTACAATTAGTTCAAATTCAACTGCTAAATCCAACATATTGTGCTTCTGTCGCTCGATTATTGTTCTATCTTAAAATATTACTTTATGCGTTTAAGCCAAGGTAATAGCCAGCGAATAAGCTTTAATTTTTTATATCTCAAGGAAATTATTGTTACTTGTGGAACGAAACAGAAGGAAGATAAGATGCAGAAGAGTTTTCCAGCCCCAGTAGCTGTTTCCTTGCCGTTTTCTCACCTTCCGAATTTTTACGAGAGTAGGCGTACGNCGGACTATACTTTTCCGAAGGTCTTTGACGTGCTGAATTCGAATCTGACCTCAGAACAGCCCAATCACGTCAGGTTTTCGAGATACAGTGATCCCCGGTTAAGTGCCTCCCCCCTTTAGTGCCATTCCCGCTTAACAGTCATAATATTTGTGCACCTGTAAATTTGGGCACCATATTCATATAAAATTGTCCTTTTAAAAGCACCCCGCTTAAGTACCACTAAAATGCCACTTAAGGAATTAATTTATTTTTACAGTTAAATTATTTTTAAGTTTACAAATATTCACCAGAAAAAATAACCGACTTTTTTGTTGAATAATTGTTGAAATTTAGTTATTCAATAAAAAAGTCAGTTATTTTGATATACCTATGTACATATATCAGTTGTGTAATGAAAATGAGATCTCATAAGGAAATGTGTGTGCAAATAGTTTCACTTGTATTATTTTAGTTCGTTTTTCATGTTTTGTTGAATAATATGCATGCTTATTTACACATATACATATGTAAATACTAGTTATGTATTTAAATAACACTTTTTTCACTAAGGATGTTTTTACACATATCTGTATTTCGGCACCCACCCACTCGCAGTCCCCGCATAAGTGCCACACCTAAGGTGACTTATTTAAAAAAAAAAAACATTTTTAAATGACTTCCCGCACTAAAATATTTTCAGCTGTTAATTTTTACCCAATTTTAAGTTTTATAGTCTTTAGAAGGAAAAAAATGTTTGCACTATTTAAAGATTAAATAAGTTTTGTGAGCACATTTTAAATGTGTTGAAAGTTGTTGAAATAAGTCTGAAGTCAACACACAAATTTGTATTATTTTTCCNTGAGCTCGTAATCACAAAAAATAAAATAGAAAAAATTTTATTCATACAAAAAACCTGCTAAATCCACTTCAATTTTGAAAATACAAAAACTAAAACCGGCTAAGTTAGAAATTCGCCAATAAAACCATAAAAACGTAANCAATAAAAAAGTCAGTTATTTTGATATACCTATGTACATATATCAGTTGTGTAATGAAAATGAGATCTCATAAGGAAATGTGTGTGCAAATAGTTTCACTTGTATTATTTTAGTTCGTTTTTCATGTTTTGTTGAATAATATGCATGCTTATTTACACATATACATATGTAAATACTAGTTATGTATTTAAATAACACTTTTTTCACTAAGGATGTTTTTACACATATCTGTATTTCGGCACCCACCCACTCGCAGTCCCCGCATAAGTGCCACACCTAAGGTGACTTATTTAAAAAAAAAAAACATTTTTAAATGACTTCCCGCACTAAAATATTTTCAGCTGTTAATTTTTACCCAATTTTAAGTTTTATAGTCTTTAGAAGGAAAAAAATGTTTGCACTATTTAAAGATTAAATAAGTTTTGTGAGCACATTTTAAATGTGTTGAAAGTTGTTGAAATAAGTCTGAAGTCAACACACAAATTTGTATTATTTTTCCCACTTCTACAACATTTTGTATAAAATTTCAAAACAAAATGGTCTCTTTCAGTCATTATTTCGAAAAGAATGTGCAATTCCGAGTAAAACCAGGTATNTCTACAGTAAAATATGTTTTTTGGTCGTTAGCAGGTTTACACTCTAAGGCTACGCTATGAGAAAACACCACTCAAACGAGTAAAAGTTATTCACATGCGAAGAAAAATAATAATAATAATNGAATGTGCAATTCCGAGTAAAACCAGGTATTATTTATAAAAATCAATGGACAATTTCCGAAGTTATGAATTTTCTTAAGGTTTTTCCAAAATCACTTTGATGTAATTTCACAGAAAAATTGAATAAGTTAAATTGGATTCATTTTGAGGTTTGAATAGTTCANGGTGTCTCCAGTTTAGGTGAACACAAAATGAAAATTTTTCCCCCAATTGCTACATGGGATGTGTCCGCCAGCTTGGATTTTATGTTCTTTACGATTTGTGCGCGAATTTTGCATTTCTCGTGAATAAAGGTAAACAAATTTGTTGAGAATTCGATTCCCTACAATTTTCATGGCCTATAAATTTGNTAAATTGGATTCATTTTGAGGTTTGAATAGTTCATATAGAAATATTTGATAGTATGCTTTTCAGATTGAACTTTTCCATTGCATTGTTCAACAAATTTACTACATCTGAACTTTCGCCGCCTTCGGAAGTCAATTCAAAAATTTTAATTTTCACTCCACGCTTTCCNATTTTGAGCAATTTCTATTTGAAATATGTGGCACATTTAAATGGCAAAGTGATACTGTGAAAAAAGTTTTGAGTAGCTGTCCCTGTCGCTGCATTGAGCTCGTTGTTGATCGAGATCTACACGTCGTACGCGAACATATAAATAATGCGTGAATTGGACATTTTGTCTTCTACGACTTTCCCATTGNTGGACGTTACACGATCAAGATCTTGGTTTCAAGTTGCAATACACTCACACTTTTTTACTAACACACACGCACATTTACAACTTGAACGTCGACTTGATAACAATTTTTACTTTCAAGTCATGNTTTCAAATAGAAATTGCTCAAAATTCGAAAAAACCGCGCCACTTACCCAATTTTGGAAATTTTTTGCATATTTTTAGCAATAAATAATTGTTTAAAAATATGATAGGCAC